TTTCGTATAATCCCTGCAGACATTTTGTCGCTCAGCGGGGAGTAATCGACATTAGCAATGCATGCCTTTCTGCCACGCCCACGCAGACAGAGCTTCTGCTTTCAACTGCAGCCTCATCAGCCGCTAAAAGGTGTCTCCATGCCTGTTGATAATTCATGGCTGCCCGCCTGAGGCTGACAGCATTTAAACTTTCAGCCTCGCCAAATTATCTGTGTGCCGAATGCAGCGAGTCGAGCTGAACGAAGCTGAGTCGTGCATAGCCGCGCATTTGTCCACGCTACACGGCTTCACACTTCAAGGTAGCTAAGGGCAAGTGGTGACAAGTCCAAACAGTTCTCAGGGCTTAGCTCTGTTTGTGCACCATGTTGTCGCAATCTGTTGTTGCTGAGATACATAATTATGAGCCCCATACATATGTGTGTTTGTGTATCTGTGTATCTTTGTGTCTTAATGTCTCTATGTATCTGGGAGTCTGCATCTGCCACGGCTACCGTTGCGCAGTGCAAATAATGCGACTGGTTTTTGTAGGTTTGTCTGTCCCGGAAATGTGACCGACAGCGAGCTTGATCACATAATCAGCTGCATTGTTTTTCTTTTATTTCTCTGTCTGGCTTCACAGGCTTTTCATTATGGTTCATAATTTCCACTAATTATTTATAACTTTAGCCGAGATCTTAGCGTGTTATGCTAATCTCGTGTTTGGTCCATTCGATTATACAATAGATTTCGAATTTATGGAGCCGTCCAGCTACTACTTCGCTTTCATTTCTCTGCTCCAGAAAAGGAAAATTAACAAATTCTGCTGAACTTACAGAAAAAATGGAAAACTAAAAGCGAAACTGAAGAAAAACAACAAATAAAATTGTGTCGGCGTAAATCAAAGAAAGTGCCTGGACCCAACGCTGGAAATAAACAATTTCTGAGGCGTTAAAGCAAACCGAAGCCGAACCAAGAAGACAAAACATGACCACAATATGAACTACGTGTAGTGTTTTTTCTCTGCTCGCTTGGGATACTTGAAGAGTATATCAGTTTGATGATAGCTTGAAGTTGAAGAAAGCGTGTTGAAACTTTCTAGTATCGCTGAGTCGAATTGGTTGTTGCTCAAGAGGCAAATAGATATTAGTTATATATTTCCCAGTCTTCTAACTAAATACGGAATCCTAAAATCAATTCAGCTAATTCATATACTTCTAAGACTAATAGAATGCATATCAAATCTATGCTAACTCTTTTCTTAATGAACCCCAATACATATGAACCCCATTACATATGGGAGCGCGCATCTTACAGTCGGTTCCACTCGGCTCTGTTTATTTGTTTTTCTTTTTAACTCCATCATTTTTTCGAGTTGAAAGTTTGTTTAGATTTCAAGTTTGATGCGACACAACAAATGAATTGTTTATCGCCCGGACACATGCAACATTTTATGCGTCAGAATGGAGTAGAAAACTATGCATAAATCGACTGACATTTCCGCAGAAATCCCCCTCACTCGTGCCCACAAAAACTCGGTAGCAACCAAGCGACGCACATGCCGCGAATCAATGGCACTTGGAAAGCCCTCGAGCTTGGTAATTGCAATGCTGAACGCTTCATTAGAGGCATGCAGAACAATATGGGCAATAAAACGGAATACCGGGCGGTAATACTGGGTAGTATTGCTTTAGTACACACAGTGAGAGAGAGAGAGGTAGAGGGAGAGAGAGAGAGAAACACCCACACACACACACCCATACAACCGCCACACGTTCTGCAAAGTTCAGTCAACTCTGCGCTTAGCTTTTAACTCTTTATTTTTAAATATACGACTGTAACGATTCAGCTGAACAAATGACAAGAGAGAAAAGCAACAGAATGAAGAACATGAGAAATCGGCAAACATTATTCTGACTATGAGCTAAATGAGGGTGTTTATAATTCGATCACGATATCTGTAACGAATAGCGGCATATCTGAGAATCTTAATCGAGGCAATATATTACAGAAACAAACAGTTAAGAGTCTGATATTCAAGGTTTATATAAGTTTGTCAACTATTTGTATTGCTTTTATTTTATATTATTCTTCTTCTGCTCTTTCACTTGTTATTGTTAAAAGCGTAGCGTGCCAGACTTATTGGCGCCGTTTGCAAATTGAGAAACAATTCAAATAACAACTGGCTAATTTCTCACTCTCTTCTCGTATAATTGGAAACGAAGTGTACTTTCAGTGTACATTCTGGCTGGCATTCGGTTGACCCACATTTCGCTTTTGAGTGGGGCCACTTCCACTTGTCGCCAGTTTTGTGGAAATTCGATGACAGCTAGCCTTGGCTTTCTTCACATCGCGAATATGCCATGTCACATCCTCAACATCTGCTAACCGCTTGTAATTAATGCAAAAATAAAACTGTCAGCTTTATTTGTGTGCCATACTCTGTTCAGCAGCGTGCGTGAGAGTATATTATGATCGAGAGTTGAATGAAAGAAACTAGGGAATATTTCTCTGTCTCGGCAGTAGCTTTAACATGGAGACTGTTTACAGAGTATTTAATGGTCCTTTATGCCCGTTTCAAGCACATTCTTTCTGCCTACTTTGCTGCCTCCTGAAGAGCTGCTCAGGCTGAGATCTGGAATTGGGTCAGCGCGCAATTAAACCACAGGCTGCTGTATACAAATTAAGAGTGCTGCAAACAGATCCCTAGCACATGGCAGGGCGATCGCATTACAGAACAGAATGAAACAGTGGGCCAGGGGGCCAGGGAGAAGTTAATCAAGCAAATGGAACTACAAATATCAGGGCCTGGCATCTGTGACTGTGACTCATAAATCTGGGCACTGCGATTGCCCAATGGCTCGATGGGAAGAAACAAATGCACTTGTAAACACCAACACAAACAACAGAAATTGTTTAAGTAACCCAGTTGCCCGAAACCCAATTAACTCTTCTTTTCCAATATGGGTTATCATTAAATGAGGTGTTGAGCATGCCGAATTGGGAATGGGAATAGGAATGGGAATGGGAACGGGTACGGGAAGCACATGTTCAAAACGAAACAGAACGAAAAAACGATTGTCTGTCATTTCAGTGATTCCGATGCCTGCGATAAGATAAGAAACAATTTTAGGGTACATTTCTCTGGTGCAGTCCACACTAGTTGACAATGACGTAAATACGACTGTTTCTTTCCGTTTTATAGGTCGATAAAGTAGCGCACCTCACACGCACAGACGCAGTCGGGTCTTTCACAACAAAACATTTGTTGCAGCCAAAAAGAATTCGACTTTATTCCCAAGAGAAAGCAAGAAACGAGCTTAGTTAATTTTTCTCTACTTCCTAGTTCGTCATTTGGCTTTTGTTTTCGATTAAGTAATATTTTGTTTCTTATCTGCTGCCAGCTTTTGCAAATACTCCCGATAAGATTGCGTATACGCGGCCTTATCTAGACGCAATACCAAAAAATGTTGGCCAGAGCAAAAAATAAAAACAAATATTTAAATGTTCATTCATAGAATTTCTCAGCAACAGTCTCGGGCGATTTGTAAGACGATCTGATACAGTCATTTTATGACTATTATTTATTTGGGTATATTCAAGATCAAAGTCGAACACATTCATAATAATACTCAGTATCTCCTAGAGATGCGTGAAAGGGGTATAACGGTTAGACTCAGAGATATGCGACAGATATGCGACGGCTCAACTATAGATTACAAAGCTTATATTGTATATAAACTCTATAGTTTCTACATTTCTTCTGCTACCTCAGGTCTGTCAGAGTGAATTACTTACATCATATTTAGTTAAGCACTTATAGCAATATATGTATGCACAGGGTATTTGATAGTCAAACACTCTCATCTGTTGAACCCTTGCTTGTTGAATGTGCTGCTCTGGCTATTATTGAACTGTGCCTCATTTGCCCATAGAAACGTCGCCATAAACCGCACAAAATTTAACGCTTGATCGAATTTGTATGCCATCTCACTCTAACTGGAACTCCAACTCTCCCTCTCTCTTACTCTCTCTCTGCTGCTTGTAAAACGATCTTGTATGTGCGCAAAATGCAAAAAGGCAAAATAGTTCTGATTTTATGGGTCGCAGAACTTCTCCGTTTTCACGCATAATAAAATCGAACGGCGATACGGAGTTGCCCGCAAAGCATTTGGTTACATTCACCCGGATGATTCATCTAGCGATCCGAAACGCTACTGAAGGAGCAAGGCTAACAGCTTGTATGGCAACAAAAGTTGAGGCCCATATACATGTGTATATATATATATTTATATATTCTGAACCATCTCAATCGCAGCCTATTGTTAATCAGCAAAAAGATGAAATTTGCTAAATTCCTGAAAACTATTTTTATTCGTGGCAGATCAACGTATGTATGTATGTATATATCCACACATATTTGGTTATAAATAGGTATAACTCAGCGAGAGTACCTATAAAAATTGTGCCCATTGTGAAGCATTTTGTATTTTTAGCGAAAAGATTTAAGTATTTGGCGCCGGCAAATCGAATTCGTTTCGTTCTGCGCTTTGACTATAGGCGTAATTGCAACGATTAGTTGCAGCCACAGCAACAACAACAAACACCACATATACATATATACGTATATAATACAGACACGCCTCCCCGTGGCGACACGTGCCACTTGAATGCCTCCAACTACTGCCCTCACCCAACCCACCCGCTCGATTCCCCTTTGTTCAATCGGCAGTGGCGTCAATTTGATTGAATGCATTTTCAGTTGTGGCCACTGCGCATTGGCAATTGAATTGGCATCAGTTGCACGCACAAACACACCTACACACCCACACACACACACACATTTTCATTTGCTTTTTCATTGCTTTAACCATAGTAATTGTTAATTAACAGTGTAAAACAAATAATAACTCAACACTCATCTAGCTTTTACTCATTTTGCTCAAAATTTTCGCATTTTTCTCTCTCTTTCTCTCTCCCCTTCTCTCTCTCGCTTGCTATCGCGTATCTGTGTTTGTGTACAGCCATCATATCCTATACCAATCCAAACATGCAAAATTCATCAATTTATGCGCCAACAACAACAACAATACCAATGGCAACGCCAGCAACAGCATCAGCAAACGCCAACACCGCTATTGAAGTGGCTCCATCCTCTGCATCACCAACAAAATGCTCATCATCCGATTCATCCACAACTCCAGCGTTGGGCGTGGCAAGCGGCCGTCCCTTTCACGGATTCGTAACGAAATTGCGAAATTTCAAATTCAACGATTCGAAAAATATTAGAAAACGTTTGCATTTCGATTTCATATCGAAGGACAGATTTTTGGGTATGTTTCAAAATTTTATAAATTAATTTAAAGTATTGGCATGAATAGATCAAAGTTTGTGATATATGGAAAATGGTCTTATTTATGTAAAATATATAAAAAGCATATATACTTTTATACACACATAAATATATGTACATATATATATGTATAGATAACCAAAATAGTTGCAAACTTAAAGTACTTTTGTTATTAAAAATCCAAGTGATTAAAGAGCTTTAGTCTCTCAGTAGTTAGCTAGTAAGTATTATATCTATACGGTCTGTATAGACATCTGCTCATGTTTTACTTTTGAATACCTGCCTTTGCTCAGTTGGTTTCTAATTAACCTCATTTGACATGTTGATTAACAATTTGGTGAGAATATTTTTACGAGCTCGAAATTCCCGAATTAATTTCAATGTCGCCAGCTAAATGCCCCGAGCTCTGAGCTCTGCTCTGCTTGGCTCGGCTCGTAGGCGTTCCCGTTTCACATTGAAGCCGGCGCCTCACGCACAGCGCCCACACACACACACATAGTCACACGCCTAAACATACCCATACACACACACTCACAATAGTCGCCTTTATTCACAACTCAATTTGAATGTTTTTATTGTCTTTTAATGCTACTTAAACTTCGGCTGATGCATATTAAAATACATATGTTCACATGCATAATTTATACATATGTACATATATATTTATAAATTCATATGCGTGTTTGTGTATTTAATGTCTATTTTGGCTGGAGTAGGAGTGTCCGTCAGTCCATCAGACTGTCTGTCTGTCTGTAAATGAAGCACAGTCAGTGCACACGTGGGCCGCAACATGTGTTTTTTACTTTTTAATGAAATTCTTTAATCGTTTCTCACCTAGCCGCAGAAAGAGCAAAAACAAACAGCAAAACTAAACAAACAATAAATAAAACTAAAAATTGGTGAAATACCAAAAGCAAAAAGAAAAGGGAAAAAGAAAATAGATTTGAAAAGCTTTCAACGTGAGTTACACTGCCTGACAACTGATTTATCCGCTGCATTCAACATGATCCACAACCCGTGTAAGTTTTTAATTTGGTTGCTGCCACAAATTGTGGCTGAGGCTGCCACATAAATTCCATCAGCCTGCGCCAGATCAAAGCAAGTGGGTGTGGAGGCGGTGCTGTTGGTTGCTGTAGGCTTTCGTAGATTAACAACAGATTAGATTAACAACAGTAGATTAACAACAGATTTTCTAGCATTGGGGCAGGTGAAAATTTAATTTGGGCCAGATTGTTAACCTTCATTTTTTTTGCAATTAAATCCAGCCTGAAAAGTCACTGAACTGCCAATTAAATCTAATGATACACACAATCACTCTCTCCCACTCTTTCGCTATACTCTCTTTCTCTCTCCCTCTATTTATCGCGTCATAAAACGTCCAGCTGTGTGGGTTTATAGGCAAAGTCCAATAGCCACAGAGTTTGTTTCGATCATGTTGATCGGTAGTTGAAAATGCCCAACACGTGCGCCTCTTCTGCTCGCGATCAATGGTCATGTTCAGTGTTAACAGTGGGCAACAAAAGTCTAGCCATAACTATAAATAGGCACAGCCAAACATAGTACATATCCTTGTGGTATATATTTCTCAAATTATAAGCAAGCCCATTTTAACAATAGAGAAAAATTTTTTAGATTGAGATCCATTCAACATAAATTAATTTTTATCAGTTACTATTAGTTGTATCAGTTACTATTAGTTTACATAAAATTAACATTTACACTTGGAGAAACAAATTTAGCATAATAGCATAATCTAAATTGTGTAAATACTGGCTTGTAGACCATAATTTAAGTTATAAGTTAAGGTTTAATGATGTCTGCGCTGTATAGTCTAAGACAAGAAGCTGCAATAAAAGAATTCTAAAAAAAAAAAAAAAAAAAAAAAAAGAATAGCATAATCATATTTTACGCTGCATGGTTTATTTGGCTATCCTATCGAGAGGTGTGGACAGACTTTTGTGCCGCACTGTCTGGCTATTTGTTTATGCATATGCCCACCTGCTGCCGGTTTTGTCTTTCTACAAATGTTCCGGCCCTAAAAATGAGCCATACATATTTTTCACTCAATTTCGTTCGCCAAATACGAATTCAGTTTTTCAGCATTGAGTTTAATGATCTTGTGCTACCTCAGCGAGTGGCGCAACACCGCGGGAAGCTATCGTGGCGCTGTCAACACCCAGCTGAATGGCCCGTTAACAATTAATTTCCTGTACTCATATATTGAACAAATTATACCATATTTCATTACGAGGCGCGCATTTCCCTCACATGTCTTATGTGTCAAAAAAGTGCATAATTTATTTTCATTGAGCACTTTTCATAATGCATCGGCATGCCAGGAATGCCAAAGCAGAGTTTGGGCTTCCATAAACACTTTCTAGTGCACACAGAAGTCAAAAATAAACAACAAGACAGAGGGCTATGCCTCGCACGTCGAAGATTTAATACGCTTTCATGTCATGCTCTGCACATTAACACATTACTCGATCGAATGTTTTTATAAATGGGTGAGCTTACCTATTTAACAGTAGCTCCATATTGCTCTCTAGTAATTTCTCACTCTCCGTCACACTCTCTCTCTCTGTCTCTCACTATCTCTGTTCTCTGAGTCTGTTAATCAGCACAGTTACCGCTTTATCAATATGTGGATATCCCAAAAATATAGTAACTAAAATAGAAACAAATATAATCATACGCTCTTAAAGTAGCAATTAATCAGGATTAGCACTCTTTAGTTAATTTAACTTAATTAGCAAAACTATTATATTCGCACACGCAAAGAACAAACGATCAACGGGACAAACACGCAGAGACTAATTTTCCTAATTGTGCTAAACCGCCATTCGCACTAATACAACAGCAATTATGAGCTGCCAGCACTTAAAATTTCTTCGCTCACTCCCCCTACAAGCCGTGTTGTCAGTTTAGCCTGTTTCAGGCTAGATATAGCCTACTCGAAATTTTGGGTAGCGTAACGAGATAATCCGATTGAACTATGTTTGTTTCTTTGCGTGGATATATGTTCGTATGCCTGTCTGTATCACAGGTCTTTCTCTCACAGTCTGTCTCTACGTATTTTTCTCTGTCTGGCTGCCTAATAAAAGCAAAGGACGAATAAGATCTACAGAAGAACATTTAGGTTGTCTATATGTATGCAGCAGTATTCATTTTGTATTTATATTAAGGTAAAGAGAAGCTAAAATCCTTGAAGCAGCAGAGAGTTTTCCCATTGGTCACTTTAGGCTCGACTGTAACGACTCCTACCTGGGCTCAACATTTGAGCGCGACGTAGGCTTTGAGTGAAAGTCGCCCTATATAAAGGGCAGCAGCTGTAGCCTTTCTTCAGTCGCCCAGACCTGGTGGGGGTCAGTGCAATGCAGTAAAGTGAAGTGAAGTGTGTGTAAATAGTTAATGATCCTCAGACTTAGAGTAAATAATCGGACAGAATACTTAAAAGAAATGCTTAGAGGAAATTCTTAAAGGAAATATTTAGAGGAGAGACTTACATTAAGTTCATAGAGGAATTACTTAGAGTAATTACGTAATAGAATAATTACGAGAAAATACATAGTGGAAATACTTAGAGGAATTACTTAAAGGAAATACATAGAGAAAATATGCAGGGGAAATACGTATAGGAAATACGTAAGGGAAATACTTAGTTTAAATTGAAAGGATTGAACAAAGCATAAAAAGCTCAAAGCAAATTCGTTAGGCACTTGAAATATAATTTCTTATGTTTTATTGCCTTTAATATCCCAACTAACTGATCTTTCTCTCGCTCTCTCTTTCTTGCTTATTGTCATAGGCGGTCAACTAAAGACGAAAAATGGACAGAAATATGTTTTCAATGGGCCGCCATCGGGTGTTTATGTTTCGAGAACGTGTTTGGTCGTCGCGGCTTTCATCATGGTGGTAGCTCTGATATTCTCAGTGCTTGTTACCTACTACCTCGCCTCGCACAGTTTGCCTGTCATGGAGCCCAGGTGAGTAAGCCATGTTAGAGCTACACCTAAGAATCTGAGCTGATTGGACTTGTGGGTTTGGCATGCTTATTAATTTTTAGCACATTTTTATTTGCTTTCCGTTTTCGTTTTTTTTTTTTTTTTTTTGCATTTTTCTAATGCGTTTTGGCAAACGAGTTAATTGACTGTCGATTCCGGCGTGACCTCATTTCACGTCCGTCTTGAAAGCGAAAGGTTGGTTCGTTTCCTCTGACGCATTTCGGGGTGTGGAAGGGTCAAAGAAGCTGCTTTAGCTGCTTAACTGTTTGCACAGGCCGCGCCCAGCTTGTCCAAATACAATTAAGCACTTTACATAAACTCAAACCAGAAACTTTATTCATATATCCTTTTACCCATGCCAACACACAGCGCCCAGGCACAGTCCAAGGATCTCCAGAGTCACGAGAACGATGCAACGAGCGAGACGCACGCGAATGCAACGCCCTTGGCAAATGCCAAGTTCGATATACCCGGCTGGCTGAAGCAAAAGGAGCCTGAAATCGCATCCAAGCCAGAAAAAGCCGTAGTTGTACCACCCGTCGGCGATATACCCGTGCTGGAGGAGACCCTGCACACAAATGCAAAGTCTATGGAACGCACGCTGCAGCTGTACGAGGGCTGGCGCCCTCTACACTACAGGTGAGTGTAACCCAGGGCCCAGAAAAGAGCGGGGGAGGGGCATCTACTCAGTTTTGCACTTCAGCCCCAATTGAATAATGGCTTCCACGCGACTACTCCTCAAATTGCTTTGCATGCCCGCATTTCAATTGAAAGCCACGCAAAGTGCGCGGCCTGATGGATGGACCGCCGGGCATAAATTGTCGGCGGAGATTTGTTGTCTCCACTGCTTCCGGCTCAGATTGCTGCAATTAGCGTCGAGTCTTCTACGAATCGAAATCAGTATAACGCGATTTATACGACGATAATAGCTTATCATTAGGTACTGCAGATGAGTGCGTGTCGGAATATTAAAACGGAATACGGCACGAGTTTTCCAAGATTGTATTTAAATTCTTTATATATTGTGATTGACTGATAAGCTAATTATCTGACATACTGATTAACTAGTTAAGTATTTTGACTGACTGATTGTTGGAGTGATTAACTGAATGATTGATTGACGGATTGATTAATTGAATTAATTGAAGCTCAGTCAAACAGGAAACTTATCGATTGATTGACCATCTCACTTATAGATTGACTGATTGTCTAATTGATTGACTAGCGGTCTCTATTCACACTCTGATTGACTGACTGAGTGACTCTCACATTCATTGATTGACAGATGTTTCGATTGACTCACCTTTATGATTGTATGATTGATGATTAACTTACTATTTGATTTATTGAACTAAATCACAAATTAACTGATTGATGCATTTTCTGATTTATTATAAATGTTGTTATACTTTGACTGAACTTTAACCATAACTTAACATATTTTTATAAATACGAGACTCACTATCTCTCCCTATTATGTTTATATCTACGAAGCTATATAATTTATCCGTTTAATAAGTGTAGTCCTCTTCTTATTGTTATGTCCCATTTTCGATATATCAACTAAATTAACTCTTCATCGATTCAAGTCAAGTATAAATGACTTTCGATACAAAAAACGACAGCAGTTGTCCAACAACAATAGTTTAACCCTTGACCCCATGGCGTGTGCTCCATTGTGCATTTCCTAGGATATTTATTGACGTCATGCCAAAAGATGTTTTGTCAGACATTTCGTATTTATGCTTGAGGTACGATGCACACCCGCTAAGTGGGTCAAGGATTGAGCGTCGCCAACAGTGCGCCAGTTGGCACTTAGGCTAAGCACACATCCACAGAGCTCATTCAGCTAATGCAGACATCTAACAACTTGTTCGACAATCAAACACCACAGGAGCTGGCCAAATATGTCCACAATATGAGCAGAGCTAAACTCACGCGGAATCGCCCCATGCCACTGGCCCCTCCCCCTGCCCCTGCCCCTGCCCCTGCCCCTGCCGCTGTCATGCCAGGCGGCAAACATCTGAGACCGATCGGAGGCAGTTCTGAGGCAGATCTTTGTGCAGCAGCACGCACGCCAACTGTCAGCACGCCAGATGGGTTGCTTGGTTAGTTAGCTAGAAGATTGGCCGATTGGGCGATTGGGAGATTGGGAGATGGAAGATGCTGCAGCTAATGCCGCATGCATTAATATAATTGACACAGAAATACCCCAAAGACTTGAATTGCGTCTGCCACGCAGCTGGAGCAGTCAGTGTTGGCTATCGATGCCATTTTGCTGCTCACTACACAAAATCATCGATGCTAACTGATTTTGCAGCTGTTGATCAAAGCAAACGTCCGTCTGTCCACCCGTCTCGCTGTCCATGGCAAATTGTGCTGAACACGCTTCCTGGTTGCCCCCGGGCGCAACAACACATTGTAAACCAATCGACGCAATTAAAAGCCAACAGGCGCAAGAGCACCAAGCAGCACAGTGGCTCCATCTGGTGGCCAGCTCTTGCCAACGGCATTCTTGATAAAATGTGAAGGGAAAAGGGGACGAACAGAAATTGATCTACAATTTGATACTCTAGCTCTTGACGTTAGGAGCTTAGGAGAACTTTGTTAGCCACCTTACATTGTCAAGACAAAAAGCAAAGAATATTTATTAGTGCAACTTGCAACTAATTTGTAGGTTTTATTATTGTAGTTCATTGGGTTTAGCTATTATGAAAAAAAGAACTTAATCTTTGGGAGTCCAACATTTCCTGTTTCCGAAACATTTCCAGTCAGCTTCGGGAGAACTACTTAAGACCTTCGTGAATCAGTTAGAGCCAGTGATAAATTAGAGAACTACAGAGCAATAGACTATCGGTCATGCCCCTGCCTTTTCACATTATTTGCTCTTGTGGCATTTTTTAGCTCGCAATTACAGTTTAGCTTCCCGTTCGAATGATTAACACAAACGCCGCACTGAGCTATGCTGATTGATTGGCAGTTTTGATTGAGGCGTCTTGTCGTTTCTGGCAGTGATTAGAGAACTATTTGCACCTGCACTTAAATAGTTGGCTAATGAATAATGCCAAACCGAACCTTTCGACCCTTTGCAGAATTGTTATCGAGCCAAATGTCGAGACGTCCGCTAACAATGGCAGTCTGTCGATTGAAATCGAGCGTGATGCCAAGGTCAGCAGCTGGGAGCCCATTGTACTGGACGTGCACAATGTGAGCATCTCTAATGTGCGCGTGATACGAGCGCCGGTTGGCAATGGGAGCGATGAGGTGGATCTGGACTTCGACAGCGACTATGGGGAGAGCAATGCCACATTTGTGATTACACTGGACAAGGATCTGGCAGGAGAGTCCAATCTGCGAGTGCTACTGAGCCTGGACTTTGTCAGCCAGGTGACAGACACGCTGCAAGGCATCTACAAGACCAGCTACACCAATCCGGAGACCAAGCAGCTACAGTAAGTAGTGCAGATAGGATAAATTGAAGATCCTCTATACTCCTCCTCCTCCTTGCAGATGGGTCATCAGTACTCAGTTCTCGCCAATTGATGCCCGTCGCGCCTTCCCCTGCTTCGATCGTCCCGACATGAAGGCCAACTTTACCGTCAGCATCGTGCGGGACACCAAGAAGACAATGTGTCTGTCCAACATGCCCAAATATCGTAGCAGGTAAGCGAAATGAATATGAACTGATTCGAATAATTCTTTAATAAACCCAAATCATATCAAACTCTTCTTCCCCTTAGTTCCCATCGTCTTGGCTATATACGCGACGACTTCCTTACCACGCCCCGCATGCCCACCTACCTCTTGGCTTTCATTGTCTCCAATATGGTTGACTCGAGCTTTGGTGAGCTGGACAACGCCCTTGTGCCGCGCGTGGAGATCTGGACGCGTCCCACATTTGTGGACATGACAAACTATGCATATAAGATGGTGCGTAAGTTCCTGCCCTACTATGAGGAATACTTCGGCATCAAGAATCAGCTGCCCAAGATTGATTTGGTTTCCGTGCCTGACTTTGGCTTCAGTGCCATGGAGAACTGGGGTTTGATCACCTTCCGTGACTCGGCGCTGTTGGTGCCCGAGGACCAGGAGCTGGCCTCATCGTCGGAGCACATGCAATACGTAGCTCAGATCATTGCCCATGAGTTGGCACATCAGTGGTTCGGCAATCTGGTGACACCCAAATGGTGGGACGATCTCTGGCTGAAGGAGGGCTTTGCCTGTTACATGAGCTATAAGGCGCTTAATCATGTGCATCGCGAGTTCCAAATTATGGATACATTCACGGTGCTGGTAGGTAGAGGCCTAGTTGTAGACAGGATTCCCAAACTAATTCACTTTTAAATTTACAGGAATTCAAGGAGTCCATGCAACATGATGCCACCAATACATCTCATTCCATTTCCTTTGATGTGAAGACCTCGAGCGATGTGCGTCGCATCTTTGATCCCATCAGCTACTCGAAGGGCACGATTTTGCTGCGTATGCTGAACTCCATTGTGGGCGATGAGGCCTTCCGTGCGGCTACCCAGGATCTGCTCAAGACTTTTGCCTACGAAAACATGTCACGCGATGATCTCTGGGCGTTCCTCACGCGCCATGGCCATGCGAAGGGTACGCTGCCCAAGAGCATGAACGTCAAACAGATCATGGACTCATGGATAACACAGCCGGGCTATCCGGTGGTGCACGTGGAGCGCAATGGTGCGGATTTGGTGCTGCGACAGGAGCGTTATCTGCTGCCCACTCGCAATCCCTTGGACACCAGTCGCTGGTTTATACCCATTACCTATGAGACGGACGAGCTGCACAAGGGCGACAATATACCCACGCATTGGATGACCCAGGACCAGGAGCAGCTGCTGATCAACGATGTCTTCACCTCCGTCAACAACAGCGACAACGTTGTGTACCTGAATCTAAACCGACAGAGCTACTATCGGGTCAATTACGACATGACCTCCTGGCTGGCTCTGAAGAAGAACTTCAGCACACTGCCACGCATCACTCGCGCTCAGCTGCTGGACGATGCACTGCATCTGTCGCAGGCCGAGTATCTGCCTTACGATATACCGTAAGCTGAATATATCAATTTGAAAACTTCCTTTAAAACTATTTGTATTCAATATTCCAGTTTGACTTTCTTGATGGAGCTATTCACGGCCGTGGACGATGAGTTGTTGTGGAGCGCAGCCAAGCCGGGTCTCAACTATCTCATCTACAATCTGAAGCGGGAACCAGCCTATGAGACCTTCAGGGTAAGTGGAAAAAAATTAGATAAACCTAAAAATAATCAGAATATAAATTGAATTGAATTTTATTTAATTGGATTTTCTCTGAGTGTATGCCCTTCTTACTTATGCCCTTCTTTACTTACTTTTCGATTTGCTCACTCTAGGCCTTCATGAAGTTCATAGTGCGTCCGGCCTTCGATCATTACGGCCTGAACGAGCCGGACAATGAGTCGCATCTGCAGCTAAAGCATCGCGCCTTGGTTGCAAACTTTGCTTGCAAATTCAACTACGATCGCTGCACGCAGGTGGCACAGATGAAATTCCGTGAATGGATGCGTGATCCCAAAAAGAATCCGTGAGTAGATCTAGCTACAGCAACTTCAGTTATCAATAGCTAATTTCATATTCGATTACAGCATTAAGCCTAATCTGAAGTCGGTCATCTATTGCACAGCCCTGGCGGAAGGCTCCTATCCGGAGTGGTACTTCGCCTACAAACAGTACAAGAGAACGAACAGTGCCTCTGAGAAGGAGGAGATACTTACATCCCTAGGCTGCACTACCAAGCCCTGGCTCTTGTCCAAGTAAGCAATAGAAGATAGTATATATATGTAATAGAAATTCAAATATGATTGGCTCTTTAGATATCTGAATTTGACTGTGAACTCCACGTCGGGTATACTCAAGCAGGATGGCGCCTTAGCGTTCCGTGCTGTCGCCTCCAACGCCATTGGCTATGAGATAGCCTTTGATTTCCTACAGACCAACATCAAGGAGATAGCCGAATAGTGAGTTGCACTAATGCGTATCAAAATTATATGTACATATATTAACATTTCGAATTGCAGCTATGGCGATGGCTTCTCGACGATAACGGAGATGATCAAGTCGCTGACCATCTATATGAACAAGGACTATCATAAGCAGCAGCTGCAAGCCTTGGCCGCCAATTGCCGCAAGCTCGGCCTGAAGGCCGTCGAAATTGCCATCGGGCTGGCCATGGAGCAGGTGAACGACAATATCTATTGGCGCACCCACTCCTACGACAGCCTTAAAGGCTTCCTCGAGGCCATTGTCAGCGAGTTCCAGATCAACATCTTCTAGGCCACTCGACGTCATTGGCGCAACTTTTTCAACCGAATGCTACATTTTATTCAATAGCCTCAATATAATTTTAGAAATCAAAACAAAATCAATATGTGAAACGAATTATTTGCGAAAAGTGATATAAACTTGTAAGTTAGCCAACTTAGTTAAGATAGCCAGCATCTATATGACTATAGATGCTCTACTTTTTGCAAGTATCTGTATATTTATTTAATTTATAAGTTCGTTCTGCTTCAGTCTATTGTAATTTATTTTTGAGTTTCTTGCAACGTTCCTGTTTTGAATAGAAAAAAAAACTATAGTTTATTATCACAACAATAGCCAAACAGAAGGAAAAGGAAAGAAAGCAATTCATTTCATTCCGTCGGTCAAAAGTTGAAAATTCATCAAAACGTTTCCTATACTGCTTGGGTAAAATATTAAAAAATGAAATACACTTGAAACTCTACTACTAAGCCATTTAGCACTAAGTCAAACTAAATTTAATATCTTTAATTTGTATTAAGTCCAACAAACAAACAAAATGAAAATGAAAGGATGAACGAAGTGCTACCTTAATTGGATAGTGGAGGGAAATTGAGTGTCCTTACCGCAAAGTTTCAAAGTATTGCGAAAGTTAAACCTAAATACATATATATAAATAAAAATATATCTAATTAATGTTAATGTAAAAGTTATCTATTATGAAAATTTTATAATGCGTAACACTAAATATATATTCGCTTAGTGCACAACCATGTAAATAAGTTTTAAAGCATATTTAACTAAAAACAAATAAATAACTAATGTAATTACGTAAATTTAAATTCAACTTTTCCCTCTATACCGGTATATTTTATCTAGAATTTTTATAGTAAGTGCCATGCATTTGCATGACACATACATACATATATGCATCCTATATAATTATTTTTAAAGTAGGCGGTAACGATAATTTCCCATATATGTAGTAATGTTTTGAATTAACCGCCAAACTTGTTAAAATAACGACAAAAATACTGCATATTAACGAGTAATTTTTGCCATTTAGTCATAGCAAGCAGCTTCTCGCTGTGAACAATTTAAACTGTTTGAAGAAATATTCAGATTGAAGTCTAGCTACCTATAAAGGCCGCAATAAATAATATTCAGCATATTATATAATGTAAAAGTATTGAAAATTGTTCAAAGCAACATATTTATTTTATTTGAATATTGATTTTTTGCAATTTTTGTCAGTGTGGCAACATGTGGGTATTTTTTCAGTGATACTAACGGGTGTCAGTATTTTCTCAGAATAGCTAATAGCTGAACCGTGCAACGCTGCTATTGTAAGTTGCAACTCGTTGAGACCTTAAGCATTAATTTTGAATTTTGCGCTGGAAGTGAAAATTCGGTTTGCAATAAAAACAATTTCAAAAATTAAATAAGAAACTGCTTTTATCAACCAAAAAGTATGTATAATTTATAATTGACTATAATAGCCTTAATAATCCAAAAATCGTTTCTAGTGAATGTCCAGCGGAAGCTTTGGACGTCCGAGGAGGAGGACATATTCCTACGCATTTGGCAAAATTATTTGGTAGCTGTGAATGATGGTAGAACTCTGACAGACGTTTGCAAATATCTTCAGGTTGAGTTTAGAAATAAAGGGATTGACGCCACGGTGGATAGAATAAAAACCAAAATATACTCGCTCAAGCGAAAATATAATAAGTATAGTAGTCTAAGAAGCGACAAAGGTGGATTAATCAGGGAACAATTAATATATATTCAATATTTCAGGATCATAAAAGAACCGAATAAAAAGAAACAATGGAAAAACTTTGATAGGATGGCCTTAATAATGGGATATCTGGAACAAACTCAAGAAATAAATTATGAGGCTAGAGAGCACTCACACAGCTCAAGTCAGCTTTATAAACAAAACAATTACTGTTTTGATGAGGTTGCGCCCATGGAATATGCCGAAGTTCAAGTCGAAATCGAGGACATGCGGACATCGTCATCCTCAACGACGACCTTTGTCACATTCCAAAAATATATCGAAGCTAACGAATATCAAACCTGGTCAACCGATTCGACTATAGCTGCACCTAGTGCAGTGAAAAAGACCAAACCAAGGCGCAAACTTTGGGGCCTGGAAGAGGAAGACATATTCTTGGATGTATGGAAGAAATATTTGAGTGATTTAGTACGCGCTGAAATAAAGTTAAGTATATATAAGAAAATGGCAGCAGAGCTCAAAAGTAAGGGCGTTCACATCAGATGCTATGATATCAACACGAAAATTCAATCGTTTATTCGTAAATTTAGGTAAGACGGTCATTGAAGTTGTTTGTATGTATATTTACACACACGGCATATCAATGTAAATTCTATTTGCAGCAAAGAGCGCAATAAACCTGATAGTTGCTCTAAGTGGGTTCACTATGCCAAGGTGCGCGAAATGTTGTGCCCTGCACAGACTCCGAGGCCACAAGGACATGAAGCTCTATTCTGCCCCAAGCCTAGCTTTTTTGATTACTTTGCCAATTACTACCCTAAACCCAACTTTATTGATTGCCCAAACAATTGGCTGGCTGCTGACAAGCTCGATTCAGAATTTGATAGTCCTTCGCCTGAGTGGGCAAGCTACTACCTTAATCCAAAGTTGATTGGTTACTTTAACAGTTGGTGCACTGAGGATCAGCCAATCGATTCAGAAAATTTGGAAAGTCGTTCCGCTGATTGTGCAGACAACGAAAACTCCTTAGAACAAGCTAATGAGAATGAATTCGATGGAAATAGCTCAGCAAATCACTTGGATAATGCAGAGGACGCATGCTATCTAATATACCCAGAGAACCTCGCGATGGTGGTGATGGAGGAGTGTCAGCCGATGGAGCACCCAATCAATTTAAGTGAAGCGATCACCAGACAAGAACAAGTCGAACAATTTGGTAGTTTTATTACCAAAGAACTTCATTTGCTAAACGACGATCTTCTAGAAGAGGCTAAAACAAGAATTTTCGATATCATTCGCATCATGCACATGAAGCAAGTGCAACAAAATTAACCAGACAACTAAATACATTTATATGTAAGATTCATCAAATTAAAAATATAATAAATTGTTATTATTAAGATTGATTTTTTTTTAATTTTGTGATGATAAAAACCAAAAAACAGCAAAGCCGTGTACATGAAACAAGTACAATAAAATAAATGAAGCAACCCAATATAATAAATATACAAAAATCTTCAATTAATTATTTTTTAAATTTATTTATTTGAGTTTACGTAAATTACATGTCGATAGCGATAATAAAAAACATAATACATCATAATCGTAATAATCATCTTCATAAGTGTTTGCTTAAGTATTAAATATTTGTTTAAGAGATTTTCTCGCACTTTTTTTTAAATAATTGTGGTAAGTAAATTTAGTTGATACCAAATCGTTGATGAAATTTTTTTTTAAATTTTTGTTTATAATTTATATGTGAAAATGGCGCGCAAACATTATTTTCAAGTCAAAAACATACGTTGATTTCGTTTTCTTGATATTTTCCTTGATTTTTATGTACAAATAACAAAAAATAATAATCACTTATAATAATGATAGGCAAAGAGTTAAAATTAAACAAAGACAATCATAGAGAAACAAACACAAAAATTCTTGGACCCTGGAACAGACGATTGGTTCACACATAGTCGGGAACCATTGGATGGGGCTGGGATTAGGGGTTGTGGTTCATATATCTATGCATGTGTATATATATTATATATGATTGTTTGGCCTTAGCCTAGACATCGATCTGGAATGGGGAGCCGGGTATATGGTCTTCGCCCCATTTGATTAGGAGCACGTATTGGCCGCGATCGCGCACCAGATACTGCACATTGTAGTTGTTGTGGCCAGCGTGCTTGACATGGAACTCCTCGCACGGACCCTTTGGTCCGTACATGCCCACGTACAGGATGTTATTGCCTGAACAGAAAGAGTACGTTTAGAGAAATGTCTCATTTATGTCACTTGCATCAATTGTCACTCACCCGCATCTGTGGCACAGACGCTGAACTGGTTCTGCTTGCCAATGTAGGCCTTCTTGAGGCCCATGCCCTTGGACACAACCTTGCTGGCGTCGGACTTGAAGGTGGGCAGGTGGACGCCAGTGTTCTTGCCGCCTTTGGCCACCTTCTGGACGGTCTCCACAATCACTGTGGATGTCTCCTGGGCGCCCTCGTCGGCCAGCCTTTCGCCGGTGGCGTGCACCTTGAAGGGTGAGCCCACGATATGCATGTTGTTGTATTTGACCGTGATGTAGTGCTCGCCGGGCAGCAGTGGTGTGTAGCGCACCTTGTAGCCCTCCTCAACCTCCGTGCAATCCATGGCCACCTTGGATGGACCATCGATGGAGACGGCCAGTGTGCCAACGCCCGCATTGCACGTGTTGATGATGAAATCGGCCTTGTGTCCAGTCTTCACTTCGTCCAAGCCGCTGCCGGTGGCATGCACAGCTGCCGGATCGGCCACATCCTTGCCCACCTTGATTCTGAATGGCGAGTCGGGTATGTGCACGCCATTGAACTTGACGTGGATGGCGTGGATGCCGTTCTCACGTGGATAGAAGCGCACCGAGTACATATCACCGTCGATCACCTGGATAAAGCAATCGTCATCGGTGCCAGATGGAGCCACAATCTTGGCATCCAGCTCACCCTTGGCGCCGTTCTTGCGCACCATAAACTGATAGGGTGCGTCGGCCTGGATGTTGCCCTGTGGGAACTGCTGTACCTCCAGCTTGTGGGCGTCGCCGGCATCGGGAGAGATGTACACCTTGAAGGGCGAGTCTGGGATGTGGCGGTCGTTGAACTTGAGGCCCACACGATACTCGCCAGGCTCGGTCACCTTATAGGAGACATCGCAGCTGCCGTCCTTGCGATCCTTGAACTCAATGTCGGCCTTGCTGGGACCCTCCACTGAGATAGCCAGAGAGCCGCCACCAGCCTCACGTGTCCACACATTGAACTCGGCTGCCTCGCCGACAACGCCGCGCTCCAAGCCAGAGCCGCCAGCCTTCACCAAGTGGCTGCCCGAGTCGCGCAGTGGACCCACTGTAAACTGGAAGGGCGAGCCGGGGATGTGCATCTCAGAGTAGCGCACCGAGACGGTGTGCACTCCCAGTTCCTTGGGCACAAAGTGCACCGAGTACAGACCATCCTCGATCTCCTGGATCTCGGCGTCCTCGGTGACATTGCTGGGCGATGTAACGCAGGCGGCCAGATCGAAGGATGTGATGCCGGGCATCTTGAAGGTCAGCTTGCACTGGCTGCCAATTTCAGTGATGGGCACTGCGTCGCGCTCACGTTGAATCTTCTCGCGCTTGCGATTGCTGCCCTCGCCGGCCACCTTCACGGTGAAGGGTGAGCCTTCGACGTGATGATCGGCAAACTTCAGATTGACAATGTAGTAGCCGGGCTCCGTAGGCTTATAGGAGATGTTCAGTGTGCCGTCATCCTTGTCGGTGCACTGAATCTCCGCCTTGCTAGGACCCTCAATGGACACCGAGAGACCACCGAAGCCGGCGTTGCGAGTGTCCACGGAGAAAATATTGTCGCTGTGCGTCTGTCCCTCCTTAAGGCCGTTGCCGCTGACTTTGACTTTCTTGGCGTCGCCCACTTCGCGCTCGCACACGGTCACCTTGAAGGGCGAGTTGTTGATGTGCTTGCCCAGCCGCTTCACCGACACCATATGTTCGCCAATCTCACGGGGCGTGAACGAAATGCCAATGTTGCCGGTGGGCATGCGCTTGAGGAAGCAGGGCTCCTCCAAGCCGCTGGGCGCCTGGATGGAGGCGTTCAAAGCGCGCAGATCATCGTCGGTGATGTCGCCGGGCATAGTCACCTCCGAGCAGGAGCCAACCGAAATCTGGTTACGTTTGCGACCCTCACCAGTTATCTTGGCAAAGTAGGGCGAGCCCTTGATGTGCTTGTCGCCGAAGCGCACCGACACCTGGTATTCACCTGGAGCCGTGGGCAGATATTGCACCGAAACAGTGCCGTCTTTATTGTCATGATATTTGATCTGTAAAATCATGGAATTGTATATGATTGAATTCGCATATTGCTGTTTTCTAAACTTACGTCTGCCTTGCTGGGTCCCTCGACGGCCATGGTTAGACCGCCAGCGCTGGCGCCCTTGGTGGAGATGGTAAAGTTTGCGGGTTCACCGGTGACACCGTGCGTCAGGCCTGGTCCATAAGCGGTCACATATCCGGATGTTATGGAGTCCACATGGAATTTGAATGGAGATCCTGCCAAAATAAAAAGTAAACATGAGTATAAAGTGTTTTTTATTTTGGATTGGGTAGAGGGTACTACTTTAAGTTCATATAAATATTAATATTAATATAAATATTAATATAAATATAAATATAAAATATCCTATTTTTTCTCCATTGCATATTTACCTTGAACAGGCTCGCCATTGTATTTAACAACCAGCTCATGGGAGCCCTCCTCACGAGGATCGTACTTCACGGAGACCGTACCATCACGGTTATCCTGAATAATGGGTTTATCTACCTTACCACTTGGCATTCTGACTTCAGCTGTAAATGAAACGAAAGATATTTTCACATTAGTCAAGTGATCTCGATACTTAACATAACCTCAAAGCAAGCACAAAAAAGGGGTGTGGTCCCAAATGGGTCACATCGAAACAAACATATCCATAAAGTAGATTGAAACCAACACATTGTGTAGGCGGTTCCAAAAATGTTCCCAGCTAAATATTCCTCAACGATATCATAATTTAAATTTTTATAGGCGAACCAGAGTGACAATATTTATTAAATTCATCTATTTCGGTATTCAAAAACAAATTATTTTTGAAAATATTTATGAATTCTGATGACGCAGCACAGTTAAAATTAATGAGAACAAATGTTTTTGCACTCGGAACTGGAAAGTGGCGAACAAGTTTCTTTAGCAATTTTAATTAAATTCCGAAAGTATTTTTAAACAGGATATTGATACTAATTAAAATATTTTGATCAAGAAATATTTCTTTTATTTGATTACAGTTCTTGTTTTCGATTTTTCTTGAAAATATTTATGTTTATTCACATACTATTTGGTCCACTGTAAATATATTTAGTATATCCTTTTTATAATCCTTGGAATAAATTTTCGATTTCAAAACACTTCTCAACACAGCGACTGCTCCGCACGAACTGAGTTCACAGTAATCTTTCGACTTTCTGAAGAAATTTTCACCAACGCCTACAATTGGTTTTATACTTTCCCACGCAGTCGCCAGAGGAAAAACAAGACAAAAAAAATGAAAATATCTGTCCCGGATGTTTTTGAGGTCAAATATAGGACAATCTCTTTTCTAGCTCGTAGCCACTTATGTATAAGACACATATTCACAAATATATATGTATATATATATATATATATATATATATATATATATATATGGTATATATATATCCAGAGATCGTGTGTGCCAGATTTGACGAGAAGTTTCTATTGATCAAACAAACTGGAGGAATATCTCTTGGACAAACACACTGTGCCACGAGCCCACACTTATAATAAAATTTATTGTATATTCCGGGAAGCTTATTTTTAACACATTATATACTCTCACTTGTGTAAATTTGTATGTATTTATATATAGTATTCCCGAAAATACTTTCTATATTATATACTTCTTGCGTCCAGGAATCTTATATAGAAAGTCTAACAGGGGATCGATAATTTTAAATGCCTGGCACATAAGACGTCACATATTGTGAAAGAAATCTACCTGCATATAATTTAGTGAATGTTTTATCTTTCTAGTAAATAAGATATCTTTAAAAACAAAAATAAACAATATATAAATATAAATTATATGATGGAAAGCAGCATGATTCACAGCTGAAGAACACTTTTTTTTCTGTTGTGGCACTCTTGAGTTGATTATCAAATTATGAGTGCTTTTATTTATATACTATGTATATCATAAATAATTGCTCAATAAATAATAACATAAGTGTTGACATGTTTTTTGCTAGAATTTATATCAGGGCTGGAAATGCTAAGAGTGAATCAATGTTTCGGAAACAAGTTCACGCTTTGAGATTTATTTTGGTGAAATGGTTCTATACGCTATGAGCTTGAAGGTCAGTATTGAAAATGGATTTTGATATTATGTGTATTACAAAATTTTTAAATGTAGACAGTATACT